TGCTCTATAACTGATCCTTTATCGACACTTTTAATTTAATCAATAACTAGCTAGACCAAATATAGATCAGTTTAACCGAGAATAATCTAAGGTAATAGTTCTTTGCCGGAACTCACACCTAAATAAGGTAAGAACGTAAAGATATCTCCTACCTTCGAAATTTTCTATAGGGTAATGGGAATTAGGTAATTAATTAATTGTCCGAGAGTTGAGACGCACGTTAGGCATTACGTATGCATGTTTGGAGAGAAAATATGGGAAATGAAAACCTAGCAGAATTAAAGTGAGAATGACTAAGTTTTCATTTATCTGTTTTTACATATGAGGAAAGTGTTTATATCAGGTCCGATTAATCTAGATTCGTATCATATAAATTTCACTAAAAGGAAAAAAAAATTCTATTTCGATTTACTTTAGCGCGGGACCTTTTATTAAGGATAGTTGGATCTTTTTCATCCCACCAGTAACCTTGAGGAGTTTACGTGTCCAGTACAACTTGAAGGTTTGTTAACCAATCATGTTATTATCTTCATTTAGAAGGAATCTCTTTTTCCTTTTTTAATGTACCTAAATTAAAGTATACTTCACTATTTAGGAACTTTAGTACTTGCGATAAGCACAGTTCTATCAATTGGCAAACTGATCTTTTCATTATTTTTTAATTATAATTATAAGTATAGGTAGAGATGTATATAATATATACATTTGACACACATTTTGTCAAAGAATGGATAGAGGAGAAATTGAGAATTAAAATAATGAAGAGAGCTTGCGCTAGCCGCTTTTATTTCAAATAATATTATCCTTCAGTTATTCTTATGCGATATGATTATATCCATGGAGATAAAATAATTTCGCTTTTACAAGAAAAACAAAGGTTGACAACTAAATGACTGCTAATCCTTTTTCATTTTTTCAGAAATTTCGTCAATGTTATACTGCCGACGAAAACGAGATAAACATTGACTAAATGTATTCTTAATTCATATTAATTAATCCTTTGTTGACTAATAAGGATTTGGTTCGTTCACCTTGTGTTCTTTATGTCATTCAAGAAAAAGATCGCAGCCCACAAAAATAACTTTCTCAAAGTGATTAAATCTAATTTCATAGCTTAAAAATTGAGATTTATTCTAATAGTGCAAATCGAAGCACGTGTGATAGTAGTAAAAGAAAGCCTCCAAACTAGAAGCTGACAGAGAATCCACATACTCTCTTTTTTTTTTCCGAAAATTCTCAGCCGCTATCTTTCGTTTATGCATAGGGTAATTTACTCACTGTGCAATAACTAGTAAACTATACAAAAGTATAAATTGTACTAAGCAAATCCGATACAACGAGTTTTCACTGGGGCTGTTGGTAAAAGAAATCGATCCCAAGTTTCCCATATGAGATATCGGTGACCTAACCAACTTAGCCAACCGTATGTAGACTCACATAGACTTTTTTTTCCAACTTTAATATTGTAGTAGCTTATATGGAAAAATATCTTCCACATAAACTTTGTAACTCCAACTTTAGGAGTTGAGACTCAAATATTCAAACCGTTACAAGACCTTAAACTACTTGGAAACTTCCCTCTCAATCAGTAGAATTCATTATTTAATTAGGTAAGACAAAGAATAACAATTAAAATTCAGATTTTACTTTACTTTTTTTATAATCTGGTCTGTCTATAGCCGTCATTGTGGGTGAACAAATTGATATTATAAGATTAGGACATGTCTTGTATGACCGAGTTCAATGAATATACAGCAGGCAACGCAATATCTTATAATTATTCGAAATCTCACAAATTGATATTTTTGGAATCTGCTAAGCATCGATTTTGAATTTTTCTTTTCCACCACTGCCTTGTGAATTCTCGATAGGAAGGTGTAGAGGTCGAGGATTAGGGTTGAAGTTTGACGGATATAATCGTGAGTTTGCCCTGGTCTTACCAATAGTATTAGTACTATTTTTGTATTTTCTGATTCTTAGATCTTTATTTATATCTATAGTGTCGTTCACTTCTCTTATCTTGCTACCTTGTTGTTATTGTTTGTTGTTTCACTTTGACAGTTCCTTGAGCCGATGATCTATCTAAAATAATCTCTCTTGTAAAATATACGGGTTTGTTGTTGTTGTTGTTATACTGCCTTCTAAAATTAGGAATAACTAAAACAAATTATCGGAAATCATATATTTCAAAAACGAATTAAAGTCAAATTAAAATGCTCTATATGTTCAACATTGAACAGACCTAGAAATTCAGATAGATTGTCTGTCAATGCATTCGAAAAATAGTATCTTGAAACAGCAACATTTATACACGTGAATTCGAGACCAAGGGGCAAGTTGATTAAACGATCAGTCAACTCATAGCCTGTTTGGCCAAGCTTATTTTTGGTCAAAAGTGTTTTTTTTTGTTTTGTTTTTGTCAAAAGCACTTTTGGCCTCAATTTGAGGTATTTGGCCAAGCTTCTGGAAGGAAAAAAAGTGCTTTTGAGGAGAAGCAGAAGCAGTTTTGGAGAAACAGAAAAAAGTAGCTTCTCTCCCAAAGCACTTTTTTGAGAAGCACTTTTGAGAAAAATACACTTAGAAGCAGTTTTTTAAAGCTTGGTCAAACACTAATTGCTGCTCAGAAGTGCTTTTCAAACTAATTAGCCAAACACAAACTGTTTCTCACCAAAAGTACTTTTGAGAAAAGCACTTTTAAAAAAAAAAAAAAAAACTTCTCAAAATAAGCTAATTTTTGTAGTCTAACCAAACGGGCTATCAGTCTGTCAATAAAATGTTACGAGCTGTGAATTCAGTTGTTACTTTTTTGTCCTCAGAAAATTGCGTTGGATTTATTTAATATGTTCCATCAATGTCAACGAATTTTCACTTCGAAATCTAATACGACCCACCAAAATTATTGGAGTAGGCTGAACGCAAAATTAAAAGAAAAAATTCAACTGAAATTAATATGCTTTCATAAGTACAACCTCTTATCTCCAATTTTATTAAGAATTCAAAAGACCTAAAACTATACAACAATAATTTTCTGGGATTAATATGCACATGGACACATGAGAGAAAAGTAGGTTAAAGAAATTTTGCTTGATTGACCGAAAAACTAGGAGATTTTTATTCAGCTACATGTTATAGGTGCGGTTTGATGGGGAACATGTGGGGCAGAATCCACAATATTAAAATATTCACTCAATTAATGTAAATCATTCAAAATGGAACCAATAATTAATTAATTAATTAATGGTAAAAATAACACGGGCTAGCCAGTTTTCGGACCAGTCATTGAAAAATAGCCAGCATTTTCAAAGTTATTGAAAAATAGCCACTATTTTGCTGCAACTCGGAAAGTTCCAGCATAATATATTAGAGATCGACGCACCTGTGTATGAACTTCCAGCATATTATGCTGGGCCTCCAACACGCGAAAAGTTCTAGTATAATATAGTGGAGATTGGTGTACCGGCTCCAATCTCCAGTATATTATGCTGGACCGGTATATTATACTGGAATTCCAGTATATTATACTGGAGTATTTTTTCGGATTTTGAACAGTATCTTCGTTCAGATTTATCTTTATATGAAAAGTGGCTAAATTTTGATTACTTTTGAAACTGTGGCTATTTTTGAATGACCACTTGTAAATTTGTTATTTTTGAATTTCTCCCTAATTAATGGGCAACGATCACTTTTAGCCCGCGACATAAACTATTTACATTAGATAGCCGCAAAAGTATATAAAATTCGTAATTTTTTTCTATGTAACATAAAGAAATGTATGTACATATAAAAAATATATATTTTCTACTATTATTTTAAGAGCGACTATACAATGTCATTTTTCAATTAATAATTAATTCTATACCATTCGGTTCCTTATGGGGTATGGAATGGACATTTTGCTTAATTTAACATGGGCCTAAGACTACGAAATCATCACTTGGGGCATTTCTGTAGATTTGGATTTTTTTTTTAAAATATTGTTCTTGGTTTCTGTACTTAATGATCGTATATCAATTAAAGAGACACCTGTTGGGTCTTCAATTATTTGAGAAGGAAAATGGAACCAAGTTATATACGTTAATGTACAAAATAATTACATTTTCAATATAATTGTAATATGTTCTCAATAGAGACTATGAGTCCTAATTTTGACGCTTCTTAATAGTGGCAGATCTCAATAATCATTATGACTTGACATCGATAGAATAATACCTCCAATTCTGTACGTTCGATAGAGTCAAAGATTACCTTGTTGATCAGCGTACATTGATTACCCAGAAATGTATAATTATCACATGTCTTACGGCTTTCTAACTTTAACACAATTTTTTTTCAGGATGCTTAATAATTAAAAAAAAAAGGATGCTTAATAATTAAAAAAAAAAAAAAGGATGCTTAACATGTTCCCCGTACAAATCTCTATGCTTACAGCTTGTTTGGATGGTTGTCACATGTCATTTCATAATGTATCATTTATATTATACTGCAATGTATATATATTGTTTGATAAGTACCACGTTTGGATAGATTGTAAAGTTTGCCGTTGGTTCATAATGTCACACACCAACAATAAGACGGATAAACTTGCAATATTACTAGTAAAAAAAATAGGATATTGAGTAGAATTATTATATAAAAAAGTAGGGTAAAAGATAAAATATGATTATTTAATAATAAGGAAAGGCAAAATAAGAGAAAAAGTGAGGTATAAACGCAACCACACCAAATCTGTCGTTACATAAAGTGACACTTTTCGTTGTTACGTAATGACAGATTTAACAATACGATACAATAAAGTTTAAGTAAGAATCAAAACAAACAATGTATTTAAAGCAACAATACGATACAATACAATACAACAGGTAACAACCATCCAAACAAGCTGTTAAGAACTTTTCTTCTATGTGCATACTCTGTTACCACTAGATATGAACTAATTTTTAGGCACATAACTGTAAATGTAATTTTCTTATAAACTTGTCTATGTCAGTATCTCAAAGGCAGGTTAAAAGAGCCAACATCAATAAACATCACAATCATGGCAGCACAACAAATAAAACTGCCTTACATTCATGTAGCATAAAAGGTGCTTAGACTTACAAAACCACACATATATACAGATTAAGACGTTACATGCTCGAGAAGTTCAAGCTTATACAAGCAGTTCTTATATGCATCACAGCTCAAACTGTCGATGAATCAAGACTTGATATTATTGAAAGCGCGGAAATCTTATTAGAGATAAGTTACAAAAAGCTCTAACATTACCTCAACAACTTTTCAAGAAGCAGCTCATAGAACAACTTCCATAGCAGCTGAGGCCGCTTCAGGATGGTATTCGAGTATTTCGTTCCACATCATTTCCCTTATGGTCTCTTCCCCTAAGTCCTCATCTATGTCAAGATTGATAGGAACCTGCGCTGGGGGGTCAGTGTTTGGATCATACAAGGGGGACATGTATGGATGCTGAAGTGCTTCGATAACACTAATTCTTTTCGAAGGGTCAAACACGAGCATTCTCTGCAGGAGATCGATGGCCAAAGGATGAGCATGGGGATAGAGACGGGAAAAGGGTGTTCCGGGAGAGTATGGTAGTGATTTGATGTACTTCCTCGCCTTTGGGTTATCGATAAATTCAATATCTTCTTCTCGCTGACTGCCAAGGATGTTGATAATCAGTTTAAGTTGGTTAAGGCATTCAGTACCTGGAAAGACGGGTTTCCTCCCTAAGAGCTCCGCGAAAATGCAACCAACAGACCATACGTCAATCGATGTTCCATAGTTGTCACAGCAAAGGAGGAGTTCCGGAGCCCTATACCAGCGTGTAACAACGTATTCAGTCATAAACTGGTCCTTGCCACTGCTCGTGCGTGCCAGCCCGAAGTCACATATCTTCAGATCGCAGTTAGCATTGATAAGCAAGTTCCCAGGTTTCAAGTCACGATGAAGAATATTTGCAGAATGGAGATATTTCAGACCTCGAAGCAACTGCAGACAAATCAAATTAGTTTCAGCAGTCAAAACAGTTAAATCAGCAGAACTGAGCAGTAGCATACACACAAGTGGACATCTCATTCCTGTTTAAGTTTTAAGATCCTTTTAAGTCCTTTGTTTTTCAGCTCTTATATGTAGCAGCCTGGGGATGCCTACTTTATGAGATTTTTCTCCAATTTATCCACACGGGAAGAAGATAGAGAAATAATAGGGAAAAGAAAAAAGGAAAAAGGAACGGTAAAGCATCCTTAGTCCAGAAAACGCCATCAGATGACAAAGCTATTCCATGGCATGTTTAGGGGTGGGGGCTAGAGATGAAGAGTGCACAGGATAAAGCCATTTCCCATCTTCATGTGTCACACTCTTGGATCACTAACAAAAATGTGTTCCACAAACAGAAACCAATGGAATAAAACCATAACCAACTAAACCGAAGTCCAAGCTTGCTAACAGTGGATTCTGGAAAGAAGGGCAAGGAACCAACATTCTGGAATATAGATTAGAGAAATTCGTATAAGTTGATGGATTAAACCAACAAGAAATGAACGAGTAATGTAGGATATGCACGGAAGGCAGAGACACCTAAAAAATATTGCACAAGACTTTAGCACAGTCTTGTCTTGAAGAGCGAAGCTGGGAAACAGGTATAAATATAATGTGTCAATTGTTAAGTGGTGCTCTACTTTGGCATCTGGATGAGTATATGAGCCTCTGTAAAACTAGCACAAGCTGAGAAGAGGAGCTCATCTAGATAATATTCCAAGGAAAAATTAGAATATTTTCAAATAGATGAGATTCGACTAATGCTTAATCTAATCTTTTATTGAAGGAAGAAGATATTATTAGGACATCATAAAACAGAGAGATACTATAGGCGGAATGGTTCCAAGCAGTAAGCCGGCCACAGATTTCAAACAAAATTTAACCCAAAACAAGAAAAGAAGAAGGTACTTTTACATTTGTTTTTATAGTTTCACGATATTTTGTCTCCATAGGCATGTGATTAAGGAACTACAGCTTTCTGGTACTGGAAAAAGATCCTGCAAGATGCATAACACTTGAGATAAATTGAAAATGTTTTTTTTCCTTTATTTTTTAATCATCCACAACAAGTAGAATAATCTTTCAAGCAAACAAAATAAGAAGAAAAAAGAAAGCAACAACAACAACAACAACAACCCAGTATAATCCCACTTAGTGGGGTCTGGGAAAAAAAAAGAAAGCTAAATTCCCACAATAAATTACGCATCAATATACTTTTATAAGAAGAAGTTCTGCAGTGGATTCATCTGCATAAGAATGGAAGAAGTGATCTTCCAAATATACAAATTCTTGTGAATCTCATCAACGTGGAGTGGAAGGTGAGAATTGGAAGGACAAATGTCCGATCGGAGAAAAGTAGGGATGTTGAAGAACAGACGACATGCAGGGGTTTGAGTGGAATAACAGAATAGGAAGAGTTTGGCTGGGAGGGTGAGCGGCCATGTTGTGTCTCCTACCGGAGAGACCTTATCCAGATAGTAACAATTTGATACGGAACGACTAGTCGTATGTCTTCAAGCATAGTAGAAGCTCTAGATTTACATAGCATCTATATATTCCTAAGCGTGCAAATTTCTTACTGTTATTCAATCACTATTGAAGTAGCTGTAAAAAAATACTTCAGCGTGGGATTTTTTCACACACTCACTCTAATTTAACCTATTATAGCCTATAAGAGGTTACCTACCATTTATTCTAGGTTACCAACCAACGCTATTAAAAAGAATTGCATGCAATTACCTTTTAAGCAACCTATTTTGTAAATATTTCTTTACAGTGCATAGAAGTCAACCTTTTTGAGTATAACCACTTCTATTTATAATAGCAATTAGAAAAAAAAAACTTTGTCAAGTGATAAAGTTGAAATAACGCAAAGTAGGCTAATTTCCTCAATTGATTCAACTATAAAATGATTTATAGCGATAAAGACCAACGGAAGGGAATTAAAGCTCAATTCAGTTCGAGCTTTAACCTCCTTCATATCTTTATTGCTATAGATCATTTTATGGTTGAAAAGTTAACCTACTTATTTCAAGTTTTTCACTTTATCAATTGACATAGTTTTCTCCATAATTTCTATTATAAACGGAAGTGGGTTAATACCACAAACTTTTGAGTTTTATGCACCGATGGTGTAAAATAATATTTACACAATAAGGTCACTTAAAAGATAATTGCAGGTAACTCTATTTAATAGGATTGATCGATAATCTAGAACAAATGGTAAGTAACCTGTTGTAATAGGTTAAATTATAGTAATAGTGTGAAAAAATCATGACAGGTTCAGTGCATATAAGTTATCCATACTAAAATTATTTTTTACCGCTGCTCTAGTGGTGGTTGAATAACATTAGGAGATATGCATGCTTAGGAATATATAGGTGTTATGTAAATCTATAGCTTCTACTATGCTTGAAGACTGACAATGAAACAAAACAATCAGATAATAGCACACAGATCATGTACATAGATGGATATTCAGGAACTTAGACAACACTCACCTTAGTTAAAAACTAGATAGCGTAGAGAACCCTCCCCCCCCCACCCCTCCCTTTCAACGGAGAGCCTTGTGGGAAATGAAAATCTTATTTAAGAGAAAATACAAATTACTACGATATTGACTTTAGATTCCCAGGCAGAAAGGAATGCACCTCTGTGATTTTTATCTGCTTGGACAACATTCAGTTACATGACTGTTAAATAATTTAGGCCGTTAAAATGCACAACGTTCACTTGATAAACAGAAAGTATGCTTCTTCTCTCTTCTACTAATCCAACAGGCCACTTGGTTATTTGTTCGACTAACCTTTAATGGCAGTGCTATAAGTAAAGAAAATCATAAAAGATTGAGAAGTAAAGAAGATCAAGAGGCCGACAAATAGCAACCATTGAGTAGATTTAGGCTCACATCAGTATCCATATTACTATACTCCTTCTAAAGCTAGCACCACTTGGATGACTGACGCGTCGAAGAACATAAGCAATTGTCCCAGTTAGAACACGAACGTCAAGGTCTATCAACTCACCCTCAAATATGGTATACCTCAGTTTAATCGTAGGAACAAGACAATCACGATGAGGATTGAAGCAAGAATATTTCCTCCAAACATCCACACCACAACCATTGGAATTCACATTTAAGAGAGAGAGAGAGAGAGAGAGAGAGAGAGAGAGAGAGAGAGAGAGACAGAGAGACCAATACAAGAAAGAACAAATAGTCGAATGAGTTCAAAGAGAAAGTAAAAGACAGCTACACAAGCATGAAGCTTCTAACTATCATATCCAGATTGTTGCATGTAAGTATGTAACATAGATAGCGCTCTCCCTGGGATAAAAGTACCTGGAATAGGAAATACTGGCAATGATCATTTGAAAGTGTTTGAGAGGATTTGATTATCTGATGTAAATCAGTATCCATTAGTTCGTAAACCAAGTAAACATCTTTGAAACTTCGCCTGTGGATTGGCATCATCACATCTTTCAGAGCAATCACATTTTCGTGTCTAAGGTGGCGAAGGAGCTTTAGCTCACGCAAAGTTCTCAGAGCATCAATACGGTTCTCAAAAGCATTGTTTATTTTCTTGATTGCAACCTTCTCATTGGTTACCCTGTTAACGGAAGAACAAACAATTCCATAGGCCCCTCGACCAATAGGCTTAATAGGTACATATTTCGTATCAATTTCAAAGAGGGATTGCCACATAGAGTAGTAATGCTTCCCTGGGGTCCTAATCCCATTAGGAGGCTCAACTGGAGTTGCCATATTCCTGAAATTGTGGCAAACCAGGCATAATGAGTTAGGAAAAAATACCATAAAACTTTTTCTACGCGTAATAACTTAGGAAACATGAGGCATAAGTTGCTCGTTTACAAAAATATTAACCATTAATAAACTCCAAAACCAGCTAAAAAAGCAAAGGAAAGGAAAGTGCTTGTAAACTGATCACAAAAATTTATGAGCAAACTGAACATACTGAACAACCACCCAAAAATGCAAAGAACTAAATTACATTAGTTTACCTCCCTAATTCTGATGCCTACCACTCTTTGCGAGCGTGACTTTCATAATTGGCAACTCACATAATTGGCAACTCATTTGTTCACAATAGTTTGAAATTCAGCTGAAGCACTGCTTATGATCTAAATGCTTGGAGCAAACAACTTGCAGTAAGACGTCTTAAAACCATTCCCGAGTAAATGAGGAATGGTTTTCCAGCTTTCCCTTACAGAAGAGCACAACCTATTGCAGACCTAAATAAACTAATAAAAGTATCTTCTCTTTAATATCTCCAGCTTTTAAATGAAGCAGCTCACACAATTCAATACCAGTAAGATCATAAAAGCTCTCTCCCGAACGGTAACTTCTTGATTAATGCCATAACATTCCAACCATATCCAACCATTAATATCTTCTAAATCTGTATGAAAATGTGGAGATTACAAGAAGAACCATTGTTACTAATTTGGGACTTCTATTAACAATTAACTTAGTAAAGTACTTATTTTTCTGCTTAATCAAATTGGATAAATCATGGCAAAGGCAGAAGCTTACAACAACAACAACCGGGTCCGGGGAGGGTAGTGTGTACGGCAGATCTTGACGCTGTTTCCGACAGACCCTCGGCTAAAAGCAGAAGCTTCTTTTATAAATATAAACAAGAAAGTTAATGTTGCTCACGGACCATGTCAAATTATCCATATTTAGGAAAAGTAGTCAAAAAAACAAAGAAAGAAAGAAGCTTTAATAGATAAAATTTGCTAATTAATGATGCATAGTTTCACTGATCTCACAAAACAAATGAAATTGAAAACAAAGAAACTAAAAAAGCACTCACCTTTAGTGTATACTCAGCTTATACCCCTATAACTTCACCGCAAAAAGCTCATCTTCTTCAACCCCATATCATCAAAATTCAAACTTTTGAAACAATTTCTGTTCAATTCAGCTTCAGAAAGCAAAAAAAAACCCTTTTCAAGAAAACCTCATTTACATTCAAGTAGAGTTGATTTCGCATTTCCCAATTCTGTGGCTCAAAAGAAACAAACCCTAGTTAGCTCACCTAGAAAACGGCTTTCCCAAAAATACCCAACAAGAATCAGATCAGAAAAGATCCAGATTAATTAGCCTCACATTTCTTTGTTTTCTTCATAATTTAGAAAGGGGATAATATATACTATAAATATATAAAAGATTTTGGGATATTCTCTTTTTCTCTCTCACACATACACACACAGTAACTGTTGATCCGTTATCTTGTCGCGATCAGAGTGTAATTGTCTGAAAGTGGATCACACAGTGATGAAGTTGAGGACACATTCACTTAACTTAGTTCTAAAATTGGATATTATATTATTCATATTTATTTTTCCCATTAACTTTATCATTATTAGCACACTCTCCTCTTTTCCTTCACTTTTTCAAATTTTGCTTGCTATCTATTTTTAGCTGTATCTCTTCATTAATATTACTCTATCAGTATCAGCCAAATCAAATAAAAGCTTTTATAAAAAAATAATAATATTGTTCATCTTTCAATTTCTAACTTTTTTTCTCACAAATATATTTTCTATTGTCAAAAATATGCTCCTTTTGGCATACTTTTGGGACTATAAGTGCTTCATTTGTAAGATATAATTTTAAATATATACCTTCTAAAGATAAGGGACTATTTTCAATTTTTATCTTGAAAATAATTATAAGTGAATCATGTGAAGAAGTAAGTGACCAACTCCCTCAAGTAGGGGCAGCAAATGGACGGGTCAGATCAGATATAGGCGGGTCGAAAACCTATAATGCAAAACGGATAATAATACGGATAGAAAATGGATTAACCGACGTATAATATAGATATCCATAACTTCTTGAATATAATCATTGATCACTTTTGGGGGAAATTTTTAGTCTCACAAACTTGAGAAAATCCCAATTTGAATCTTTAAAAATATAAAAGTTAAACCCATTGGTTATACATTTCTTAGTGGATAATATTCTTATCCATATTTGATCTATATTTAAAAGATCATTATTTAATTCATATTTAGTTAATAATAAGGAAAGATATTTATTTTTATCTATTTTGCCATGGCTATCCTTAAAAAATAATAGTATATTTTTGTGATAATGGAGTGAAATTGCTCCATTTTTGTGACCTTTATAAGCTCCATAATCCATAATATATAGAACAGATCCATTTCAAACGTACTTGTGTAAATATAAAATAACTTAAGTCTTCCTTGATAAGAGGCAAATATGTCAGAAAAAATGGGGTAAATAATATAAATTTCATTGAGACCCCTGAATTTTGGAAGATAATGAGCCTCTTGACGTTTGGAAAAGCAATAAGTACACCGTATATATGTTTAAATCACAACAATTAACAAAAATATCATGGTACTCTTTTCATTCTTATAGCAACACAAAAGAAAAAAGAACATTTTATATCAAGGATATGACATTAATTAAATAAAAAATGTACGTGTTTCCCGTCCTAGTAATATTGGCTCTTATTGGTCCGAACATTTTCACTTATCAAATAATTTAAGTGCAATGAAGACTCGCTCTCTCAAATTTAGAGATTTACTAGTGAAATCAAATGAGGATGACCACTTCTTCAATTTAATCATGTAGGGGTACTGAAGTCTCTTAAATAACCTCAAACTCAAAGGGCTAAGCGGCACTTTTTTCCAAACTTCAAGTGTCTAGGTAAAAAGCTCCGGTAAAAGATGAAAATGCCCAAAGCTTATTGGACTTCATTTAAATTATTTTGGGCTTTTGGACATGGTTAATTGAGGAGCATTTATGTAAAATACCCATTGAGCTACTATTTACGATACATAACTATCCAGTTAAAACTAATTAGACTTAGCTTAGCTTGATTTGCCTTGGTTCGGCTTGACTTGGCTTGGCTTGGCTTGGTTCGGCTTGGCTTGGCTCGGTTTGACTCGACTTGGCTTGGCTTGGCTTGGCTTGGCTTGGCTTGGCTTGACTCGCCTTAGTTCGCTTGGCTTGGGTTGGTTCGGCTGACTTGATTTGACTTGGTTAAAAAAATGGGTAGGGAGAACGACCGTAAATAGTTTGTGGTGGGTGGGTGCAAAATAATTAACTGGATAGGTATATATCATAAATAGTTTTCAAATGGGTAGAGAGGGGTAATTATTTTAAGCTCAATGAGTATTTTGCATAAATTTGCTCTCAGAGATATTAGGCTAGTTGATGGTAGGCTATAATTACGTATTTTAGTCGCTTATCGTACTATAATTTACTGCACTTTAATTGAGTTTTAACTTTAATCGCTAGTGTTTTGCACTAATTGCGTGTTTTATGCCTTGTAGGAGTGATTCCGGGTGATGTAGATGTTATGGAATGAATTCAAGCTATTTGGAGCTTTGAAGTCTGAGTAAAAGCCCAAAAGATTAAGCCGGGATTGCGTTCGGGGGTCGAGAACCACGTCTGGACTTAAAAAATCAACGAAAAAGATTCACTCTGAGAAAAAGATACAACCGCGGCGCGTGGTGTAAAAGGTCGTTGCCCTCAATTTGCATGCTCTCTGAAGTTCTCCACAGATGCCCCGCCTGGTGCGTCGCCCCATGCGGCGCGCCTGTGCAATTTTTACAGAGTTCTTATCCCAGTTCGCTTAAGAAAAGTTGTTTTCATCTGGGCCCGACCCTACTTGGTATAAATACATGTAAAAATATTTTTTAGAGGAATTTGGACATACTTTAGACCTAAAGAGAGCACGGAGTCGCCGTGGAGGCCAGAATTCATCAGATTCTATTTTTCTTCCATCAAACTTAGTAATCTTTACGTTTCTTTTGATGAATGGTTGTTTTGCTACCATATCTATGTGGAGCTAAACTTCATGTTCTAGGGTTGTGGTTGTCATGAATATTGAAGTTCATTAATTATATTACCGTTGATTCGAGTTATCATCTTTGGTTGCTTTTCTAATTATGTGCATAATTGCTTAATTGTTTGGCCATTAGTTGAGTTCTAGTTACTATCTATGCTATGCTTGGGAAAGCCGTGTTTAGATTAGAGTAGAATTAGAGAGACCTTGTTTCTGAACCCGTGGCTTGGGGAAAGATTTTGCGGTTAATATAGGAATATACCTAACAACCTTGCTTAGTTAAAAATCGTATTATATTCGTTCATGATAGACTCAATACCATATGAATATAGGGTGTTGATATATTGTGGAAAGACTGATAGTATTGTAGGAACATGCTATTTATATAAACGATCCGGTCAACTAGCAACTGTAAGCACGTGATTTTTGCCCTATATGAGAATTACTCCAAAAAAATTCAAAAATAAAATAATTTTTCTTGGTGTGCAATTTTTGTGATATTTTATGATATTTTGAATAATTATTTGTATTTGTTTGTGCATGTTTATTTGCTAAATTAATAAAAAATACAAAAATATGTCACATTTTGCATGTAGGATTTAATTCTACAATTGTTAGTAATTAAGTTTGTTTTACAAAATATAAAAATCACAAAAATTAGGCATCGTTTGCATTTTTAGCATTTAATATCCAAATATACAATTTTATGCTTAATTATTACTTAATTGTGCGTTAATTGTTATTGGGAGTTAATTTGCGCTTTTATAACTTAATTTAGTTCTTAATAATA